CATATTAAAATATTTAATATTTCCACCATCGGTATTGATGCTGATACTTGGAGCTGTCATTCCCCTAGCTGTGAACCTTCCGCCGTACGAAGATCGCTGTCAACTCCTGGGTCTTGAAACACTACACGAAACGAAAATCAATTATTTTATTCATGTGTTTCACTTATACATTTTTGCCAAAACATCAACCTTATACATTCCATAAGACAAACCACATAGGTTCTATGAGAATGCATAAAAGGTATGTGTGACCGCTTATACATTTCATTTGACACATGATATTCATTAACTTTTTGCAAGGCGTCTGCTTATTAGTTGACTTATACATTTTATGAATAATCAACAATAGAAATTTGCCAAAAGGTATAAGGTGGTTTCTGTGTTGCAATTATTTGACAACCGTTACAACATGTTATAACCATAGAGGTAACTCTAATACCAGAAGGTCCCGAAGAATCGTGCTCAACTTTTTGGCTCAGTTCTGGTACTATCTTCGGTCCCAAGCTAATCGATTCACCCCTCACCTCTATGCTACTACCACAAACGAAGTGACAGACGGAGCGGCTCGAAAACTTTGGTGACTAACCTGCTATTGCAATTTTTCAGTGTACCACATGGCAACACCACTACTACTGGATTGTACCACATGGCAACACTACTACTAGATTGAACTAGCATTTTCACCGAATGTACTAGAATGTTTTGGTCCTATCTCTTTCACTCTACTCAAAACTGAAATGCATAAAAATATGACAAAATGATACGCACTCTTTGCACACTGTCAAAGAATCATTGTACACAAAATCAACTTTGTTCAAATCAAAACAAAAAAACTAGCCCATCTGGTGAATGATGGCACAAGCTTCCAAGAAAATTCTATTACAGTGAACCACATTATTAAAATGGATTTCTTCGCCAGTTAGTCGTCTGTCACTTCGTTTGTGCTACTACCAACAATCAATACGAAACTAACGATTTTAAATTGGCTCACTACTTGACTAGCCTATTGGTCCCAAGCAAATCGATTAACGTATCCCATTCTACTATAAATTCCAGTACTACACTATGTTTGTTTTGATTCGCTATGAAAGTTTGACAGATAAAATGAGGGGTGCTTTGATTTTCCTATGTTTCGAGGGGTGAATCGATTAGCTTGGGACCGAAGATAGTACCAGAGCTGAGCCAAAAAGTTGAGCACGTTATTTCGGGACCTTCTAGTCTTAGAGTTACCTCTATGCTACTACGATGCATCGACTAACCCCTCGCAACGCAAGATAAACGCAATACTTGCATGAAAGAGAGAAGGACAACGAGCATTTCCGAGAACGAAAGAGAAGTATGAGACGCAGGTTGATACGCGCTGCGAGAAGAGCAGAACAATTTCGACCGTCACAGTATTCAGTTCGAACGAATCAAATATTTTGTGATAAAATAAAGGAAATAAAGATAAAGTTTGGTGCAAATAGTGTGTCATTTTGTCATTTTTTTATGCATTTCAGTTTTGAGTAGAGTGAAAGAGATAGAACCAAAACATTCTAGTTCATTTGGTGAAAATGCTAGTTAAATCCAGTAGTTATGTTTCCATGTGGTACAATCCAGTAGTAGTGGTGTCATGTGGTACACTGAAAAATTGCAATAGCAGGTTAGTCACCAAAGTTTACGAGCCGCTCCGTCTGTCACTTCGTTTGTGGTAGAAGTATTGTAATATTATGAGCACAAAACGCTTTCCACACTCAACATTCCGATTTATTTCACGGACAGCGTAAGAAGAAAAGATAAAGCAAACTATTCCTCGATTCATTCACAGCAAAAAAAGTTGTTGAATATTACATCGAAACTGCTGCAACCAGGTCAATCCATCGGTTGTGTAATATCACATTGTACGATGTACATCGATTTTGCGAACAAAATTACATGCATTGATGTAATATTGTATCTGCTTTTTGCTATTACATCATTATTTCATACATCAGCTTGAATTACGTTGATCAATATTACATTTTTTTTTTGCTGTGTTGTAGCAAAGATTTGCTTTCCACTTCATTTTGAACTTTTACGCACGAAACAAAACAAAACTGCACAACGAAGAGCTCTATGATGGCATGAACTTTTTTCACGGATGCCAGTGAGATCTTTTATTATTCATGGTAGCCAAAACAACTTTTTGTGCCTCCGCTTATCTATGGAATCTATATCGTATCCAAACGGTAACCGCAAAATACCCAATAATGACTACAAAGTAAGTATTGTCGAGGGAAACTGGGACTACCCATTAAATGAGTAAAATTTTACCCATTTATGAGTAATTACAGCTACAGAAACAAGTAGTAAGTATTCATTTTTGAATAACAAATACTCATAAATGGGTAATATGTTTACTCATTTAATGGGTAGTCCCAGTCTCCATTGGAAATGCTTACTCTGTAGTCATTATTGGGTATTTTGCGGTTACCGTGTATAGTACCCATTAATGAGTACAATTTCAGCCATTTTGAAGTAAAGTAGGTTAACCCATTAAATGGGTAAAAAAAAACCATTAACGAGAACCGTTTACCCACTAGTGGGTAACAATTACTCATTTATGGGTATTAGATACACGGTAACCGCAAAATACCCAATAATGACTACAAAGTAAGCATTTTCGAGGGAGACTGGGACTACCCATTAAATGAGTAAACATATTACCCATTTATGAGTATTTTTTACTCAAAAATGAATACTTACTACTTATTTTTGTAGTTGTAATTACTCATAAATGGGTAAAATTTTACTCATTTAATGGGAGTCCCAGTTTCCCTCGAAAATGCTAACTTTGTAGTCATTATTGGGTATTTTGCGGTTAACGTGTACCCATTAATGTGTTTTTTTACCCTTGTTTACTTCAAAATGGGTGAAATTATACCCATTAATGGAAACTTTCCAGTTACAGTGTCGTCTATCTTCTCTACACGCTAAGAAAAAAGTATGCATTAATGTTTAAATTTTAAACAATTTCGAGAAAACCCGCACATATTCATAAAATGAATAAACGCTGTTTACTCATCGGATGAATAAACGCGTTTTTCTCGAAAGTGATTAAATTTTAATCATTAATGAGTAAAGGCGATTTTCTCAAAAGTGGTTAAATTTTATACACCGGAACGATTTTAAATGGTTGGTTTCGTGTATTTTCAACATATTATACAAACAATTACATTCAAATAAAAATCAACAAAAAGTAATATTTATTTCTTGTACAATAAAAACAATAAGAAGGTACATCTGGGCAGAGCAAGATCACACCATTTAACTCAAATTTTCAAGACACTACAATGTCGGCCATTTTGTCATCGCTCGACATCCCGTCCGTCCAGGTGGAACTCGGATGTTTCTTTTCACGATTCCTTCGTCAACCTTCCCGTGTCGTGCTCGACAACCATTCCGTTGCGTTGCCCGACGAACTCGATCCGAATCGTCGTGGTGCCGCTGGCAGCCCTGTAATGGAGATCAAAAGTTACAAAATAATGAGAGTAGATTCGGATCGTCGTGCTGCCGATTGAAGCCCTTTGTAATGGGGATCAAAAGTTACAAAATAATGTACCTTGCTACACAGAAAAAAAAGTTGTTGAATATTACATCCAAACAGCTGCACAGAGGTAATTCCGCTGGTGGTGTAATATGACGTTGTACAATGTATACCGATTTTGCGAACAAAATTACATCCATTGATGTAATATTGCATCTGATTTTTGCTATTACATCATTATTTCATACATCAGCTTGAATTACGTTGATCGATAGTAATTTTTTTTTGCTGTGTAGATATACTTACTATTAGCATCGGCCATCTCTTTGGCCTGATCCCACACGGCGACAGGATATTCCAGTTGGCATGTCCAACCGTACCGGACAACGCTTGTAGCAGTTGAATCTGCAGCTCACTAGCTCCTCTGGAAAAACTTTTAAAAATAAAGTTCTCACCGCTCTCTTGAAATAATAAGAAAATTATAAATTACTATTAAATTGTATCTAGATTATAAATAATACTATAAACAATCTATCTACCTGCAAAAAGTTGACCAATGATGGCCGCTGCTTTTCGGAAAATAATTGTTCCCAAGTTTTTTTTTCAGCCACCAGTGAATAAAATTTAAACACTTTTGTTGAAAAATGGTTTTCTCTGAAAATGTCTAAATTCTATACACGGTGTTTCGTGAAAACCCATTAATGGGTAAAAAAATACCCATTTTCAAACCATGTATGCAGCTGTCAAAAAATGGGGGAATTTTGAAATCCTAAAATGGGTGAAAAAATACCCATTTAAAGAATCAGTTCACGGTTGCATAATGGGTATATTTTTTACCCATTAATGGGTGAAAAAACACTTCGAAATTTTATCGTCTCATTTCCGTCACCGGCTCATTGGGAATGCAAACCTCGATGCAAACAGTTACTGTCCGCAGCAACGATCTCCGGAAAATGTTAGAATCCAAAACGTTGGAGAGGCTTACGGATAAGTCAATACAATGGATAACTTGTATTATAATGTTTCGTGAAAAATTTGAGCGGAACACCTGCATTTATTTTCAATGTTTTAAAAACATGTTTACATCAACGATCGCTTGCATCCTCCATTTGTAAAAATGGGTATTTTTTCACCCATTTTACGGTAAACACAATATAAGAAAATGGGTGAAAAAACACCCATTTATTGACAGACCACCCATTTACCCATTTATGAGTAAACCATAGTTTACCCATTAAATGAGGAGGGGCACTTTTAGCGGAAATGGGTATTTTTATACCCATTAATGGGTTTTCGCGAAACACCGTGTACACTTTTTTGCTATAAATTTCAACCACTCTATGACAGCTCGAACAAGCTCCCAAAAGTGGTTAAAAAAATAGTCATCAATGCATAAACTCGTTTTTCCGTGTATATATAAGAACCTTGACAGCATTTGACAGTGATTTGTTTATTGATTTATTAGAAACTGTCAAGTGGTGCAAAATTTTCCAATCTGCCGATTTTTTGGTATTTCGGTGTAAATTTTTCAACTAAACTAGGAAAAGAATAAAATCAGCAAAAATAACGGTGATAAATATGACCGAAGTCCTCAGCAACAACACTACCGACAAGGTAGCTGCACTTGTGAAGGAAGCGGAATCGTTGAAGGCAAAGTTGGAAGAGGAACGACAGAAGCTCAACGATGTTACTCGTAGGTTTTAGTTTGGCAACTTTGACCCATGGTGGGATGTATTTTGGTTGTTCTATTTACTAATAAAAGTTGTTTTCTCTAGTTTCTTCCGTTGCTGAGCGACTCGAAATGATCACCTATCTGAACATAAAACCGCGTCGTGTGCTTAAGGGGCACCAAGCAAAAGTTCTCTGCTCCGATTGGTCCCCGGATAAAAGGCATATCGTTTCATCGTCGCAGGACGGAAAGCTTATCATTTGGGATGCATTCACTAACTACAAAGAGCATGCCGTTACAATGCCGACTACATGGGTAATGGGGTGCTCGTATGCTCCATCCGGTAATCTCGTGGCTTGTGGGTAAGTAAAATGCATTTTATGGAATATAATCAGTGAAGGGAATTTATGGATACATATGGGTAGACAGTCATGCTCTGATGCAGCCCATACACTCATACACATTGTAACTTGTTTCTTCGACTGGATCTCCTTTCAACCAATTCGTTGACCAAGCAAACATGTCGGAGTTGCGTCACAAACAATCAAATCTGCTATTCGACTCGTATACCTTAACCTGTTGACCAGCCCATTTAAAACACGCGATGTTTGTGCGACTTCCCCACACAATCTATAGTCACTATATTAAAGATAGCGACTATACTATAATCAGGTTGGCAGAGTTGGACTCCGCCCACCTTAAATCGGAACGTTCATTTTACTTCCACCGTTCGACTAATGCCGCGGATACACTTACTATGAGCATGAGCATTATTTGTATATTAATTATGAGCAGTATACAAGAACTCGTTGAAAAGAAATTGCGAGATAGGCTAGGGATCGGTGGAAATCTTTTGAGATGGTTTCGTTCATACATCACGGAGCGCCAATTGACAGTAACTTTGGGTACTTGTCGCTCAGCAAGCTTCTGCGCAAAATCCGGTATACCTCAGGGTAGCCATCTGGGACCATTGGTCTTTCTCCTTTACTTCAACGACGTTCACCATGTTATCACAGAGCCACGATTATCGTTTGAAGACGATCTGAAAGTTTTTCTGCGCATCCGCTCACTCGCCGACTGCCGTTCTCTCCAAAATCAGATTGACATCTTTGCTGACTGGTGTAGTCTAAACCGACTGGTGGTCAACCCAGCTAAGTGTACAGTTATTACTTTCTCACGCAAGAAACAACCGATTACTTTCAACTACAAACTACTAGGCACGACTATCGAACGGGTACATTGCGTGAAAGACTTAGGCGTTCTTCTAGACTCAAAGCCGACATACTCACACCATATATCGTATGCGTCGACAAAGCGTCCAGAACTCAGAACTTCAAGATTACTAAGAACTTCACAGACATTTACTGCTTGAAATCGCTCTATTGCTCTCTCGTACGATCTACGTTGGAATACTGCTCTGCAGTCTGGAGCCCGAACTACAATAATGGGGCCGAGCGAATTGAATCTGTGCAACGACGTTTTCTTCGCTTCGCGCTCCGTAAGCTGCCTTGGAGATAACCACTTCGTCTTCCAAGCTACGAGAATCGCTGCCAATTGATCAATGTCGAGCCCTTACGTATCAGAAGAAATGTTTTCAGAACCTTAACCGTCGCCGATACTCTGCAAGGAAGAATCGACTGCCAAGCAATTTTGCAACAAGTGAACATTAATGTTCAACCTCGATCACTACGCAACAGTCTTATGCTGAGACTTCCACTTCTTCGAACTAATTATAGCTTAGGGAGCGCTATTTACGACTTGCAGTGAGTGTTTAACCGAGTACCGTCGATGTTCGATTTCCACTTGACACGGAATATGCTTCGCCAAGATTCTCTGCCTTTTTTGCTGACCGAAGGCGCTTGACGCCCAACAGCTAAGTGTAAAATTTAAGACTCCTACATTTTTAGTAACTTGACAATGCTTTCCTAGTTATTTTCGTTTGTAACTGTAGTATATGAAGTCTGTATAATCTGTACTTTTTTTTTACAACACATCATTGGGACTATTTCTAGTCTGTTGATGCAAACATAACAAATAAACAACTATACACAAACTGTACAAGTGTGACCTTTCCTGTGCTTATAATTTATTATATAAATAATGCTCATGCTCATAGTTTGTCATCCAAGTAAGCATCAAATCCGCGGAATAACTACTGTCAATTTTGTCTTGCAACCACTCCACACACGAGCATCAACCCAACCTGCTTGTTAACTAGATTGCAATGTGTGTGGAGAATTAGCGAACGGTAAAAGGAATTTTCTTTTAAAATGGTTATCTTTACGTTTAATTAAATAGAAATGAATTACTTTCCACAAAACATGATTTTGATCTATTTATTAGAAATTTATTCAACTTTCCAAGCATAATATTAAACCTTAGTTCGGTTGTCGTAAATTGAAATCATAGTTTGGAATATTTAATGGTTTACTTTGTATTTCTGTTTGTTTACATTACAATCATTTACGAACCAACAGTATTCATATATTCACTTACAGCGGATTAGACAATAAAGTTACCGTTTATCCAATCACCATGGAAGAGGATATCTCTTCGCGGAAGAAAACCGTTGGAACGCACACAAGCTACATGTCATGCTGCATTTTCCCCAACTCCGATCAGCAAATATTGACTGGAAGTGGTGATTCTACTTGTGCTCTATGGGATGTCGAATCTGGTCAGTTACTGCAAAGCTTCCATGGCCATACTGGTGATGTAATGTCTATAGATCTGGCACCTAACGAGACAGGCAATACTTTTGTATCCGGAAGTTGTGATAAGATGGCATTTATTTGGGACATGCGTTCCGGTCATGTCGTTCAATCCTTTGAAGGGCATCAGTCCGATGTCAACAGTGTTAAATTTCACCCAAGCGGAGATGCAATCAGTACTGGTTCGGATGATAGCACTGTGAGTATACTTCTACTAATATACCTTTCTGTTTCATAACTCATTATCATATACCGTAGTGCCGCCTATTCGATATGAGAGCAGATAAGGAAGTGGCTGTTTTCAGTAAAGATAGCATCATATTTGGGGTAAACTCAGTCGATTTCTCTGTAAGTGGTAGGCTGTTGTTCGCCGGTTATAATGACTACACAGTAAATGTATGGGATACACTTAAGGCGCAACGCGTTTGTCTGCTCTATGGCCACGAAAATAAGGTCTCTTGCCTGCAAGTATCGCCAGATGGTACAGCATTATCAACCGGAAGCTGGGATTTCACTCTCAGAGTATGTATCTATTATTAATGCCTAAGAGTAAGGGTTTCTCTAATATGTTGTTTTTTTTTCTAGATATGGGCTTAAGTAAACTTTTATTGAAGAGCAGAATCTATTATGCCACCAAAAAACACAAAATATTTAAAAGTTACAGTGAAGTAATATTCGGAAGATAAACGTTAATGTGTCTCTCTCTGTCTAGAAATTAGTGAAAAATTACCAAAAATGCTGTTGAATAGTCAAAAGGGATAGAGCTTTTGTCTTTCCAACTGTTTCCGTAGTTGTAATTGTATTCTAGAAATATATTAGCACTTCGTTTTCTATAATTTATAGAACGACAAACATTTGTTTTCAGCTATCGTACTATATTTAAAAAAAAAATCAGTATTTAATAGCTATACAAAAATTTAGCACAAAATATTTATTGTGGTTTTATTAATTTATTTATATTTGTTGTGCCATGTTAACTTTTATGTACACAAATATTTATCTAAATCAAATAAACTGAATGTATTCTCTAAGTGTGAAACTATGAATATATAAGACTGAAAACATTCTATGTGAAAATTCCTTATATGCTGAATCATCTCTTTCCCAGAGATTATATATCTATTACTTATCCCTATCCCTATCACCACTGATGCTATCAGTGATACTCAAGGAATCAAACATATCTCGAAATGACAAAATGACAAGCTATCAACATACTTCTCGATGCCTATCTGCTTTGATCGATTCTCTTCATCGACTTTCTCTTTTCATAACCACTGCTATGCAAACCGATTTCGCGTTAATTCTACCACATAGTTTGATAAAGGAGGTTCTTATCTAGCGTCCAAAACGTTAAATACAACAGGGAAAGATGGTGGGGGTTGAGCACGTTATTTCGGGACCTTCTAGTCTTAGAGTTACCTCTATGCTTGTACCATCAGCCACCAGATGGGCTAGTATTTTTGTTTTGATTTGAACATAGTTGATTTTGTGTGCAATATGATCTTTGACTATGAAAGTTTGACAGATAAAATGACGGGCTCGTGGATTTTCCTATGTTTCGACGGGTGGATCGATTAGCTTGGGACCGAAGATAGTACCAGAGCTGTGCCAAAAAGTTTTTTTTTCCTTGATTTGTTTTCCGTCGATCTTGTTTTCCGTGCTGAGCACCAATGCTACCGACGCCAGGAAGGCAGCTCCCACATCTGGACCCTACCTATCGACCCATCAACTCATGAACCGGGACCAACGGCTTTACTTCCCTTCCGAAGGAAGGCGTGATCAGAGATGTTATGCCTCAGAACATCCCGGCGGCGCCGACTGGGATTGAACCCAGGCCTGCTGGGGTGAGAGGTAATCACGCTTACCACTACACCACCGGCGCCGCTTGCCAAAAAGTTGAGCACGTTTCATCGGGACCTACTAGTCTTAGAGTTACCTCTATGGTATTAGTTTCCACTAGAGAGGGTCTAGTATAAGAGAGGAGTGGACTGGCTGGTTTTGAGCCAAATGAGCTGTCAAAGCCAGAGCCAATCAAGCAGCGCCTATCTTAATTGCATTGGCAGTGTTGCTAGAAATCACCTAGGCATAGGTTGCCAAGGCAGTTTGTTTTGAATCCGCTCCTCTATCATACTAGACCCTCTCTAGTTTCCACCATCAAAACCGATAGATTTCACCCCGCCAGTAAGTGAATGGTGGATATACCAATTTTGCAGTATATATATATATATATTTTAAATTCGTTATTAGGGTGATTTTTAGCCACTTTTGGGTTAGTTCATCACCAAGTTTTACGCTATGGAGATTTTAGAGAAATTGCGTATTTGCGAATTGCGTAAATAAAATTTCGATATTTTGTTCTTTTTAGTAATACTGATATACCACAATTTCTCGAAAATCTCCAATATTGCTAGACTAAGCTTCCCCTCTCTGATAAACCACTGCATGAGAGAACCAAAGATCTAGTCTAGCAGTTATAGTATCACACTTGTTACTCCTTTGATTGAGAGCCGCGTCGTAGTACGCTTACGTATAGGCACTGACGTTGGGTGTGATACTGGCGGGTTTGCCGCAAATCACTCTTATTTTATTTATTTTTACGCAGATGGATTTATTTGGGTTTGTGGGTGGCGGGTTCGATTCCCAGTCCGGTCGAGGGAATCTTTCGGGTTGGAAATTTTCTCGACTTCCCTGGGCATAGAGTATCATTGTGCTTGCCACACAATACACAAATTCATGCATTGGTATTGGCATCGAAAGCTCTCAATTAATAACTGTGGAAGTGCATTTAGAACACTAAGTTAAGAGCACGCAATAAGCTAATATGCGCTAAGCAATAAGCTTGAAATGCGAACTAGAAGAAGAAGGTAATTATACTATTGAAATATTTCAGAAAGTGCCAAGCTTTCATTGTTGTTTTCATTGAAGTATTTTTTTAAACTTTTAATCTTTTGTAGGTATTGTTTTACCCTGAGTTCATTGTACTCGATTATTATATTATTCTCTCAATACGCGAAATCTCTAATATATACGGTTATTTGAGTTAACTTATTTCTTAGTGTTCAAGTGCTTACATTTGTAAACAACAGTCAATGTTGATCTATGAACTAAATCCTACGTGACTGAAAAATAGATGTTTCCTTATGTTGTATTGATGCATGTTTGACTTCTCGCGGCTGTCGGAATCAACGCGCCTACGTCTACGGAGCTTACGCCAGGGGATGGATATGGCTGTCATATCGCTTAAGTTTACTGCGTACCGAACATCTGCAACGTTGTCAGCGGTACCATGATATGTTTTGTTGTTTTGATGTTGAGTACGTGTATTCAGCTATATGTCAAACCCCTGGCTTACGCAGAGGTGATTCGCAATTCGGTAGAGCTTACCAAAAAGTTTTTTTTTTTTAGCTTATGTAGTTTACAATTTGTTCGGTGCGATCGCGAAATGTTGAAATGATTGATACGTGTGGTAAAATAACTAAATTGAAACAAAGCTCAATAGTAAAATAAGTAGAATATCTAGGGAGGAAACCAAAATTAATCAACTTACCAACATGAACTATCACATTTATTTTTGTGGCACTCTTTAAATGATAATAAGCATGTTTTCTCGCTTCGGTTGCCTCGCAAGGCTCTCGGAATTCGCGCGGTTTTCGTAACGTACATAATTTAGATATTTCGTTCGAAACGGATTTACTTGTTCAGTCGGTTTACTACGCGGATGTATCTACGCGCTCACGTTGCAGCATTTTTTCCATGACTGTCTTGAAACAATACATACGGAATCCAGTGTTCTGATTCAAAGCAGAGCAGAACTCTCAGTAACGAAATCTAAATAACTCATTCAAATTTCAAACTATTTCCAGCTTACACATTCCATATCATTTTGTAGCATCGTGGCCATCTCAATCCAAAAAACATCCAACCACCTACCTCAATCTAATCATTATCCCTTCCCATGGCGATCATGTAGCCTGCATGTGGCGAGTTAGCCATTACCCCTCCTTTACTATCGGCCTTGGATTGACTTGCGCTCTTACTGCTCCACCCTGCGCTGCAAAATGAAAATGAAAATGAAAAGGTTATAATACATAAGGTTTAAACTTTATCACATAAACGTTCATGTAAAGTTCCATAACCATTTCAGTTAAAGTTTAGCAGGGATTATAAACAATTCGTAACCAGTACTAAAATATTAGCATATTACCATAGAGGTAACTCTAATACCTTGTACAGACATACAAAGTTCACTGTTGTACCATAGAGGTAACTCTAAGACTAGTAGCATACACGGACAGAAAATTGTTTGCATTGAACCAAACAAAACTTTAGTTGTATTTAAACAAACAATTCGGGTTGAAATTCTATTGCATTTTGTTGTTTCAATAATACTTATTCATATACATTCAAAATAGGATACTTTTTGTTTTAATAAGCCACTTTTCAACTGCAACTTTTGTAAAATTAACAATATTCTATTATTAAGCCTACAATAGTTAATTTTAATTTAGCATTTATTTGCTGTGTCCATTCCCCGGGCCATGAATGCAAAAATAACTACCAACCATTCCCTCGTTTTCACCCGGACAAAAATGTAAACAATAACAAAATTTCCGAAAATCTTGACACTTGAGGTAAGTAAGTATGCTGCAGCTGTTTTTTTTCCTTCATTTTTTTCCGTCGATCTTGTTTTCCGTACTGAGTACCAATGCTCCCGACGCCAGGAAGGCAGCTTCCACACCTGGGGGCACATTGCGCATCTCGAAACGAAAGACATTTTGTACGAACGCTTGTATGAAAAAGTTTTTCGTTTCGAGATGCGCAATGCGGTCCCTGGACCCTACATATCGCCCATCAACTAATGAACCGGGGACCAACGGCTTTACTTCCGTGATCAGTGAAAAAGAAAACAAAAAATAAAAAAAACTATTGGCCATGTTATTTTTTTGATTCAATAAACATATTTTTATTTCTACTGCGTGAATTGTCAGACTTCATAAAATAAATATGATTGAATCTACAAGAAATCTCTTTTAAAAACAAACATATTTTTGTTGTTGACCCAGCTGCCAAATTTGACAGCATACGTCAAAACCATGAAAGCTCTTGTAAGTTCGAAAAGATTTTCTTTTTGATTTAACAATCCATGGGTTTTGAGGAACAACTACACTGGATTGTTGAAACAATAATGATTTCTTTTTGCAGCCTAAACAAAATGAAATTCTTATTACGTCAAATATTATTACGTTTAAAATATTTTTTTCTACGAGAATGAGCACTCATACATCTAGTTTTCACTGGAATCCTATGTATGAGTGCTCATTGCAAGACAGCCTATATTACATGATATAAGCCATAGTCTGTCCGGGTATAACACACTTCATAGTCTTTCTTAAACATAATCACATAATCATAGTCTTTTTTAAACATAATCACATCACAAAATTTATTAATAATTACATTCCTCATAGCAATTGGTTCTTGAAAGCACCTAGAAATACCGTGCTGATCTTCCCCAACACTTAGGTTGACTCTTATGGGAATAATGGAACTACCCAATCACCTTTTTCACCTCAATCAACACCGGCCGGTAAGAATCTGCTGCCTCCTTTTTTTAGAAACGCGGTACTTATCGCTTGGATTCCGACTAATTTGCAGAACATAGTAGTGAACTTCCAAAACAGTTTGCACTTTCACTTCACCAAACCCACCCACCAAACCATTTTTGTTGCAAGAAGACAATTTCAAAAATGATTGAAAATTACCCGCTTTTCATTTTTTGAAAATACCCATTTTTTGACAGTTTGGAATAATATCATAAAATGAGTCAAATGTACTCATTTAATGGGTACATTCAAGCTAGCGTGTCTGTTTCGAGCGGTGAATCGATTAGCTTGGAACCGAAGATAGTACCAGAGCTGAGCCAAAAAGTTGAGCACGTTTCTTCGGGACCTACTAGTCTTAAACGCTGTCCAGACTGGAGAGTTATAACATGTTATAACGGTTGTCAAATAATTGCAACACAGAAACCACCATCAAGATAGCGCTATAACATGTTATAACTCTGTAGTCTGAACGTACTATTAAACGCTGTCCAGACTGGAGAGTTATAACATGTTATAACGGTTGTCAAATAATTGCAACACAGAAACCACCATCAAGATAGCGCTATAACATGTTATAGCTCTGTAGTCTGAACGTACTATTAGAGTTATAGTACGTTCAGACTACAGAGTTATAACATGTTATAGCACTATCTTGATGGTGATTTCTGTGTTGCAATTAGTTGACAACCGTTATAACATGTTATAACTCTCCAGTCTGGACAGCGTTTTACCTCTATGATATTACTATGTACTTCGATATAACATATCGTGTTTATTAGAAATTAAGCCGAAATTTTTGGAATCCCAAATTATGGTTTATTTAAATAAGATGGGATTGAAAAAGGGCCAGGTACTCTATGTAATGGAAGCTCTTTGCATACATTGCAATAGTTGCAGTGTGGTAACTTTTCTTTGGAGGAATTGTAACTACATTCACACATATTGGTTCAAGTTTTTCGTCGGCTCCACGTTGTGTCCGGTAGATAGCTATATCGCAATTGATGTGAAAGAGACAAAATACTTATGTTTAGGAATGGAATCATTGCATTATACACTATGCCGTATCAATGCGAAGGTGGTCGTGGTAGAATCCACCCTTCTTTTCGCATGTGCTAGTGGGAGTTGCATTGTGTGTATTTAATGCAATTGAAATATGCAAATAGTTTTCGCTGGTAACTAGCTGCCGTTTAGCTGACTGGATTTCTGGTTAAAAATGCACAATACTTTAGCATGTATTTTAGCGTTTGTGCTGTACATACAAAGTAAAATGCATTTGAAAGAAATTATGCTGAGGTATTCCATGAGGTTAAATAGAATTTTATTAATTGCATATTTATATTAAACTATTTTTTTTTATTTTAGCGGCAGGCCCTAAGCCTGACCTTCTACTATCAAATGTGATGAACTAGCCTACGACTAAAAATCACAAAAATAAAGGAAAAAAAAAATTTTTTTTTATTAGGCAATTTGTGATGATTTTATTCACTGTGTATTCTTTTTCTCTTTTCACAGAAATAGATACAACTACTTGGACACAATAATTTTACCTATACTCCCGTCATTAGCACATTGGGAATAAAAGTCTAAAACATTCAGAACTTCGTGAATTCCAAGTTGATATTTATCTAAAAGCGTTGTAGGTAACCTGTTGCTATAAACGTTTGTTATCAATAAAACCATCTCAATTTATCTTTAAAATTTTACTATTTTCCGATTCGTGATGACGGAAAGAAGGTGCAATGGCTTTTATAGATTTAAGCCCACCTGCCTAACTTCAATCAATGCCTCTACTGTTTCAGTGCGTATCCGAGGAGAACCGAAGATAAACGAAACACCACTACAGATTCAGGCAACCCCGAACGAGAAATGCTGGAGTAGAGTAAAAAAGTGAATTTTCAACATAGCCATGTCAGTATGAATGGAAATATGTGTGCATTGTGAGGTCCGAGGCAGCTCGCTAAAGTAGCACGAATAATTTGTTTCCCAGTTTTTGTATTTCGGTCGGTTTAGCGTAATTTTTTTTGGAACAAGCAGTACCATCTTAGTGAAATGCTCAGTTTCAGTTGAAAACGATAAATTCACGATTGTTTACTTGCGTTTCTAGGAAAATTCCAACATTCTGTGTAGACGATTGACAGTTATGAAGTAAAATTGCTGTAATCTGTGAAAAGTGAGCAACTTCATATGTGTGCGGTGCTTTGCATTCACGGGAAGGAATGTGTTATGATATGGAGAGCAATCGTGACAGTTCAGTCTTGATGATATAAGAAATCTGTTGTGCCTGTCAGGGAAAGAAATTAAACTCACCTATAGATAATAATTGTATTGGAAGAGAAGAACTCGAAGTGAACAACTGTCATCCGAAAACTAGTGTTACACAAATCAATTGACAGTGGAAGATGCTGAATGGTAAATGAAATTGGCATTAGCTGCTTGTATTACTGAGCAACAATATCGTAGGAAGACGAAAGATGAATAATAATTAAATGATAAAAATGGTGGCTCAGAAAAAAATATACTACCGGAGCGAAGCAAAAGAAGTATTTATATATTGAGAAGAAATATTACCCTCAAACAGACGTTCGGTCCCACACACTTTTTTTATTTGTGTAAGAGGCATCTATTTCTTTTGGTAATGTAAACAAGTAAATGTTGAGACATATATCCAACGAGATCACTATAAGGTGTTGTGGAGAGATTTACAAAACAGTGGATGAGTAGCACATCTTAATACTAGTGAAGTTACGCTACAAATTTAATTGAAATTGCCTTACTGGCCGAGCTATGATTGTACAGAACATAGGTACGAAAAATAGAACGAAGCTTACATCTGAGTGCAACAACTTAGGAATGGAATCGGCACGTCCACATGATTATATCTGCAGAGGCTGAGTTCCATGCTTGCGTGTAAACACGCGTGAGATTAATGGTAGAGCTGAACTAGACTGAGTGTAGTGCAACAGTTGCAAGTAAAAACAAAAAACAACGATGGATTTTGATTGAACATTGCGGAAAAGAATACTTAAACGAATGTAATTCAGTACTATTAAAAGTTAACATTGGTGCATCAAGCTCGGAGTCGAAGATGAAAGCTAATAAAAGTGAAACTCGTGTAATTAAAGTTAAGTACATAAGTAACACGGTGTAATGAATAAAAGCGTTAAATTTCTGCTATATGTGTCAATTGAGCATCGTTGAATGAACATTCAGAAAGGTTTCCATGTCAAAGTAGTGATTAAAAAACACAATTTCAGTAGAAATGGTCGTTTATAAAAATACCTGAAATGTAGTACCATGATGTTCCGAATACTTGAGAACGATGCTGCGGGCAAGTTTGATTGTAGACGAAATGTTGAATAATGAATGCAAAATTGGCACAAAATACTACGACGATGAAACGGTTCAACGGTAGTGCAGGATTGAAAACTGTTCAGTACAAATTTGAACATGACACGGTGAATTGATTCGGAAAACGGCAGATAAAAAAAAAAACTAAAGGAGCATCACAGAAAAAAAAAAAACCAAATTCGTGTCAATCTCAAAATGTTGGCCAAGTGAGGTCCACTCTGTTCGTGTGCAAGTGATGTAATAATGTGTGAGGGTGGAGAATAACGTAGAAGAAGAGAAAGAAGAACGTGCCGGATTTAGTGTTTTCAATCGGCGTATTATATGCCGGGAAGAAAAAGTGTATGAATAAGATAAAAAAAAAACACCAGGAAGAATTAACGTTAATACAAAAACGACATTTGAAGAAGAAACAAATCGAATAGGATTGAATCAATCAATGAAAACAGTACGATGCGCATGGATGAAACGAGCGACGTCATGATCCATTTTGCAAGAAACAACTACTTTTGCACCATGTTTGAGGCGACATTTGATAAAATGTTTCAACACACGAACAGCACAGTAACCGCACCGACTAGCACATTTTTCAAGTTCCTAGCTAGATTTTCAGGTAATTAGACAGATTATTAATTTTATTTTATCATTCCTATTATTCTTTTTATTATTATTATTTTTTTATTATTATTATAATTATTATTGTGCTTCAAAATTAATTTTATGTTTTTAAGGTAATTTACGGCTTATAATATTTTTATCTCGAGACTGAAACAACGAAAACTGCAGTAACAACTTTCATAGCAAAGCTTAATGTGTTATTTACCAACTTTGTAACCAAAGGTTGACTATTCAAAGTAATTTTATTGAAGTTAGACTTAGTTTCATGCTCGAAGATATCTTAAAAAGTGAAGAATTTTAAAGTATTTGTTCTACGAATTTTCCACCCATATGATATAAAAATGTGTAATCTACGGCATAATGTTCCTTACACTGTTCTAGAAATTTCATTCAAACATAGTTTTCACGTAGATTCCATAGATTGAGAGATAAAAATCAGAAAAGAGGCCGTTATAGCTAAAATTGACAAGACAACAGAGCAAATAAAAGTTTCAATTCGATTGACAGATCATAGTTGCATTGCTTTTCAATGACGACCAATGACTGTTTCATTGATAGATGATATTTTTAGAAATATGAATCCATTATCAAAGGCAATTGTCACTCGAGCCATCCAAAATGCTTGTTATTTTATAAATTGCTGTTATGGCTCGAGTGACACTTGCCTTGTTGGGGAGTATGGTTAAAATCCTGTATCGCTAATTGCTGTCTCTTGTTTCTTTGTATTTATCCTTAAATTGTATAAGGAATTCATTTTCGTCTGACAAAGGTGCGTTGTAGGTGGTAACGATCAATTCAGAACTGGTTGTTTCCCCTGACTCTGAAAATAAATATAAAAATGATTTATTATATAGAAAAAAACCATGCAAATGGTTTTTTACCCTTCTTACAAAGAAGGGTATAGATATCACTTGAAAAACCGACTATCGATCCGAGGCCCGGAGGGCCGAGTGTCATATACCATTCGACTCAGCTCGACGAGATCGGAACATGTCTGTGTGTGTGTGTATACGTGTGTATGTGTGTATGTGTGTGTGTATGTAACGAAATGAATGCGCTCACGTTTCTCAGCAACCGCTCAACCGATTTGGACAAACTCGGCGCCAAATGATAGGTCTTGGGGTCCCATTGAACGGTTTTGGAATCGGTGAACCGGTTCCGGATATATGGCCGGAATAAGATCCGGTGAATATGGGCCTTCACGCTGGATTTAACGGAAAACGTATCAAAACCATCATGCGACACATCAAATTACTACAGAATTCAAAAATAAGATCAATGCAAGTCGTGTTAAGTGTTCCAGACCACATTGGACACACTTGGACATGTTCCGGGTACCCCGGGAAAGTTGCTTGAATATGAATTGAATTAAAACCCATTAAATCACATTAAAATACGATGATAAGGTGATTGGTAGCCTCACCAAATAGACTACACCCGGATATATTCCGGGTACCCCCAGGCAGTGGCGTAGCGTCACTGGATGACACGGGGGTGGGGGGCTTGGTCACTGATAATGACAATAAAATAAATAAACTTGAATAAGTAAGAAGGGTCTGATCACACCATAGGTGGATAAATTCGGGTTTTTTTTATTATTTATCTTGGCAGGGAAAAGGAACTATTCCGGACGGTCCCGCTAAAATAATTGAAGAAAAGAATTGAAATTTAAATAGTTGAAGATCCCTCCCCTTGGCTAGTTTATACACCTTGCTGTTGGTGGGTGGGCTTAATTTCATGCTTTATAGTGGAGTGTTGGAGACGGTAGGTTTATGGCCAGCGTTGCTGGTTCATGCCGCGATAGAATGGCGTCATGGACAGGCAATGGGGATTACTAAGCTTTCCCTCTCTGATGAACCACTGCATGAGAAAACCAAAGATCTAGTCCAGCTGTGATAGTATCACACTTGTTACTCCTCTGCTTGAGAGCCGCGTTGTAGTACGCTTACGTATAGATATTTACGTTGGGTGCGATACTGGCGGGTTTTGCCGCAAATCACTCTTATTTTATTTATTTTTACGTAGATAGATTTATTTGTGTTTGCAAGGGAATTATACTATTGAAATATTTCAGAAAGTGCCCAACAGTGCTCCTTCTATTTGCGTGACAAGCTTTCATTGTTGTTTTCATTAAAGTATTACTCAGGGAGCAATGTTAAACATCATTTTTTGTACATGGTATTGTAACTAATCTTATATGTGCTTCATTTTGATTTGGGATAGGTGTTTGAACTATGGCTCGAGATTTCCACTGTGGCGTGCTTCTATTGTATACATACTCATACGTATTTTGTGGTGCGACATAGTGGAAGCGTGTGAGCATAGTTGGAGCATATACCCTATATAATTTAAAAATCAGCTAGGAAACTAACTTTAAAGTGAAGCATTTCAGTCACTTGAAGGTGTCACTTGGGTCGACTGAGATATAATAAATAGGTATAGCTCAAAATCAAAAGTACTTGAAACACGTTTAATTTTAGATTACAAGCACAAGTGCAGGTACTTAATAAAGCACGGGTTATGATTGATTAGGTGAATTAGAGATTTCAATTATTTCAATTTAGTAATTAAATTAGACTAATGAGATATCATATCAAACGAATTTAAATAAGAAAATTCAGAAAGTCTATTAACATTAGGTAGATTAAAAAAAGAGTTAGGATGCGGGGGTCCGCTTAGGGTGGCACTCTTTAAATAATAATAAGCCTTTTTTTCTCGCTTGGGTTGTCTTGTACGGCTTTCAGAATTTGCGTAGTTTTCGTAACTTATATAATTTAGATATTTCATTCGATACGGATTTACTTATTCAATCGTATAATGAGAGAGAGAGAAGGATTATTCATCAGGATTATTCAATCGGTTTACTACGCGTATGTATCTACGCGCACACGTCACAGCATTTTTTTCACTAACTATCTTGAAACAAAACACACGGAATCCAGTGTTCAAGCTGCCAACATAGGCTAGTCCTTCTACTGTATTGTCAAAGATAGAAGCAAAATTTATTCATATGGGTCAAGTCTTGAAAACTAAGCTGTCATGCAGCTCCAGCTTTAAGTGTGTTGGTTTATTTCCTTTTAATTCCGTTACACGCTCCTTCAATTTTACTCAAAAGTGACTCAGTTTCGTATTTGTATGCTAAATGTTAAAAACGGAGTAACATCAATTGCGAAAATCGAGTAACATTTACTCTAATTAAATAAAAATTAAACTTTCCTCACTTATGAGTTAGAATTTCTGCAATCAGCAGCTCAAAGCATCCGTAGGCAACATTTGAACGAGCGTGTATAACTGCTTATCTTTTGACAGATACGCGTATTTCGTCTACTACTTGCAGACTTCATCAGTGCCAAGTACTCAACACCACTTGGCACTGACGAAGTTTGCGAGTAGCAGACGAAATACGCGTATCTGTCAAGTTCAGAGATAAGCAATTATAACGGAATTGAAAGGAAATAAACCAACACACTTAAAGCTCTTAATAAAGGGATTCCGTTAAGAGGCTCGACAAAATTTTTTTATTTCAAAAAAATATCTTCAAGACGACTTCTTCGACAGCGCTAATTTTTTGATATGTTATGTAAAATTAAATCATCTTTATGGTTTATTAATGGTATAGGAATGCTCTCAACTAATAACTGTGGAAGTGCTTCAAGAACACTATGCTGAAAGCAAGTTGAAGGCGTCAAAGCCAGGTAAAAGAAGAAATAACATAAATTCTACGAGGATTTGGAATTACCAATTTAAGGGGGTGTACCGAAGCGCGTATGTGGCGTGGAAAAGAAGTGTTTCTTATAAAGCGGTTTTATTTGGCATCAAACACGATTTAATATGAAATATCAAATTTATAACTGATTCATTCCATATTTTTTTTCCTTGGTTTTTTTTTCCGTCGATCTTGTTTTCCGTGCTGAGCAATGCTACCGACGTGCCAAGAAGGCAGCTCCCACACCTGGACCCTACCACCTATCGACCCATCAACTCATGAACCGGGAACCAACGGCTTTACTTCCCATCCGAAGGAAGGCGTGATCAGAGATGTTATGCCTCAGAACATCCCGGCGGCGCCGACTGGGATTGAACCCAGGCCTGCTGGGGTGAGAGGTAATCACGCTTACCACTACACTACCGGCGCCACTGATTCATTGCATATAAATCGGAAATCTGCATTGTGCTCCATTTTGATATTTTTTTTCCTCAAAACATGAGCCTGTGCAAAAAATGGTAAAGATTGATGAAGGTTCAGTTACCGCGCACCCGTTTTGAAGTTTGTATGGAGATTTTGGTGTATTACTATGGGAGATTTTTGAATTTCCCTAAAACTGCTATAACTTTGGTTCTAGTTGCTATCAACGTTGAATAGGTATGATATTAATCAACAGGCCTGTTGTAATGAAACTCGATTTTTCAATTTTTGCATTTCATTTGCATTCAAACTAACCGTAATAAGAACATATTTGTTGGTTATTATCATAGCGATAACATATTCAGTTTTGATAGCATTTGCGTAACTAGTGAAATTAGTGAAATTTATAAATCTTCAATACTAATCACCATACACACCGTTTACGCGTACCTTAACCACAGACAAACAGACATAACACTCGCAAGTTGTTCATCGAACAAGCATTTAACGGTCTATTTAAAAGTATCGTAGTTGGTAGTACCGCCACCTGTAGCGCGTATAGTCAATTCCCTTGCATTTGACGTTTACACACTACCGCCATCTGTTCAGCGTATTACCCACCACAGTGTACACATCAGATGGCGGTAATGTTTTAGCGACGATGATTTACAGTGAGAAATATTCAATGTGTTATGTTTGTTTGTCTGTGCCTTAACCATCATAGATCTTAACCTATTTTTCAGGCTCATATTTTGGAGTTATGAATTGAATTAGAGGGTGGTAAATGGTCCATCCTTTTAAGCATGAACATCATGCGGTGAGTCCAAGTTCATAGTTCTGGGACTTTTAAGATTTAAGAAATAAACAAA